AGAAGATTAAGTTGATTTTTTCCTAATTTAAAGAGGTGTCATTCTTTATGAAACGGACTAATAAGGATATAATGTCAATTCTTTTTGAAATGGAGGGAGTAACTATCTAATTGCAAAATCCAGCTTTCAGGGATAACATAAAGGTTTCCAATTTAATGTGTTTAAGTGCAAGGAGATGCTTGAATATGACTAATTTTTTTTAAAAAGGTACATGAGGAGCTTGTTCAGTCTATAAAAGATGCTGAGGAAGGTCTCCTCCACCTAAAACGAGCCAGGTTGTTGCTAGAGGTTGATGCTATACATTGTCCCATAAAAGAACCTGCTGATGTTGTGGTGGAGCCTCTTGATCCGACAGAGGTTAAAACAGAACCACTAGTGGATGAAGAGTATTCTGTTGGATCAAAATGTAGATTCCGCAACAATGACGGAAGGTGGTATAATGGCCTAGTCGTGGGGTTGGAGGGTTCTCGTTCTGCCAAAATTTGTTTCCTTAATCCAACATCTGAAAACATGGTGGTGGGTACCCCCTGGTCTTGCTTTTCGTGTGTTCTAAACTTGCTTTTCCTATTCTCACTAACATTGGTTTTAATATGATGTCTCCTTATCGTTCTTAGTGTTTTCGTTGCATCATTTGAATTTTACTTTCTTTCAGTTTGATAAAGGAATTGGGTTTCCTCATGGGACATATATAAGGGATGATTGATAAATCCATTATATGTCGTCTAGACCATTTGGTGTGTTCATTTGTTTGATGTTGCTTCTGTAGTCTGTTTAGCAGGCTTAAACGACATGCCTGCTTGTTATGCTCGAGCTTAACCACCAAGCTTATGTATTGCGTATCAACAAAATCATATTCAATTACTTCTTGTTTACCAACTTTTGCCCATAGGAAGACTTTTGTTCAGCTCTTCTTTAAATTGGTATCTCCCAGAGAAGATCCTGTCTTAGTACTTCAATGCATGGAACCAAAATTCAATATGAACTAATCTGTCACTTCATGACGATTCTCAATAGCTGCATTTTGATAGAAATACTCGGGATTTAAATAATGTGCAGCTGCATGTAATGGTTGATGCACCTGGCATTCCCATCTTTTATAAGTGATCGTAAAGACATCTTTATACTTTGCATCATTCCCATTGAGTATCTTATTTAATGGCTTCGTTAGCTTTATCGGTAGCATCATAAAAATATATCCCACAGCAGATTTCTTCTCATTGTGAACCAATCGCAACACCTTTTCCATTATAATGCGATTTCAGTACGAAGGCATCATGGGCTAGATAATTTTGAGTTCTTCTCTCTTTTGGTTAGCAACATTCTGCAGGGGGATGAAACCCTGTGGGCAAGCAGATTGGACGCCGCAAAACCCACACCACTGAAATACCTCTCGCCTAACCACAATATATAAAAAAGAAATTAAAAACTTTTAATGAAGATGAGATCAGTTTTTAATGAAGATGAGATCCTCAAAACTTGGAATTCTGAATCCAGCAGAGAACGTTGATGAACTTTTACAGATTTGATGGGATGCATCATGCTTCCTATTTCTGACCACTGAAATTTTTATTTGGAGGCATCAGAATATTCACTTTTCACTATGTCGCACTTCCATATTTTTTCTCCTCCATATTGCCCCTATTCAAGGATACATATCAAAAAACAATTCTTCAAATTTGGAAGGATGGAGTCATTGGTAAGAGCTTTTGCTTGTTAGTGGATATGGCTCTGGCACAGAAAGCAATGGTACAGACATTGTCATTCAAACTGAGTTTTCTGAATATACATGGATAGATTGATGACTGATGACAATCGTCATAGTTATTTGAACAGAATTTAGTGCAGTTCATTGATCGGACCAAAAGATTAATTAAGCTTTCCACTTTGTGTTAGCATATTTTCCGTCTTTCTATTATCAAAACTTGTGGAACCTAATTCCAATTTGCTTTTTGTTTATCAGTCTAATTGTAAAAATTTGTCTCCTGTCTTTCATATACCAACATAGTTTGGGCAATTGTTGTGCTAGTCCTAGCAGTTTACTTCCATTCTAAAAAATTGATGTACTCTTGTCTCATTTTGATCTTTCGTATTTTTCGTGTTCACGGGTAAATCTTAGCACAATCACCTCCATTTCTGGTTGTGGTTGAGAAACAGTGAAGTCTTTTTTATATCTCTTTTTCTCAGATTATGCAGTCCTTGCTTCTTGAATCTTCTTTTGATTTTCCTAGTCACAAAGTGCATACATTCTAGTCATATCACTTGCTAATGATAGACCACCCTAGTGCAGATGTGCAAGTTCTTTCTACAGCAGCGATGTCGATTTGGTAGTAGTTGCCGCTTATCACACGGTATGTTGGAATGAATAGATCTGGACAGAGATCTTAAAATTGGTTTGACATTCACAGATTTCTTTTGTCTATCATTAGTGGAGAAAATCAGGCTTTTGCTTCCAGTTTGATCCTCTAGTCAAATTAAAAATGTATATCCATTATTTTGAAATAAAAGTAATTTGACTATGTAACATAAAGATCTTTCTCTTGAATGGAGTAATACTGGTCAAGTTTTCTCTGTTAGTGCAAGTCCTGTGGTACGCTACAGTCAAATGATCTACATTTTAATGAAACAGGTAGCAATCTTTAAGCACTATTGTTTGTATTTTGCTAACAGTTCTTTGCTGCGCTATTAGATGGATGATTATAAACATCGAGTTCCGAATTTACTGCTGCTGCATAGATCAGTGTGTGATCATGTTTGCTGCTTGGCAGTTTGCTGAGCCTCTTAAAACTAAGCTGATGTATAATTATTGATGTTTCAGGTATCAACATTCCAATATCCTCATTAAAGAAGTATATCCCTATGAAATGGGATCCATCACTTGCGGGTTCCAGTATCTGGGCTCTCTCAGATAGCAAAGTTGGCCTTTGGAAAGAAGCTGAACTTGAGTGTTGGGATGAAAAGCTTAATTTGGGTCACGTTGTTTTCCGTGATGATGGAAGTTCTGCTATGCTTGGAGCTGAAAATATTGAACTGTCCGAACTTGCTGAGGCTAGTGATGAAGAAGAGAGTTACTCAGGTTCCGAAGAATCTGATTCTAGTGACTATGAAGATGATAGTTCACAAGGGTTAGGATTTGTTGAAAGCACAGCCCTGCAGCGTGGGGTCCAGACAGAAACGACACTGTTTACGAAGTGGGAGAATCACACACGCGGCATAGCTTCCAGGATGATGGCAAACATGGGGTACCGTGAAGGAATGGGTTTAGGCGCATCTGGACAGGGAATGGTGGATCCTATTCCCGTGAAAGTTCTCCCACGAAAACAATCTCTTGACCATGCTGTTGGAAACCAGAAAGCTGTAGATGAAAACAAGGGTAAGAAAAGTAGGGGTGGTAAGAGGAAACGCGAGAAGAAATTTGCAGCAGCAGCTCGTGCTGCAAAAGAAGAAGAGGAATCAAGACCAGATGTGTTTACTCTTATCAATAATCAGCTTGCAGTGCATGGAGAAACCACTAATAATAGCGCAGTAAAGAGGCAGCAAAGTAACACAAATAAGGAAGAGAAGAAAGAAGATAGGAGGGCTCTGGTTGCATATGATGATGAGATAAAAGAGTTGAGGATACGAGCTCAGAAACTGGAAGAAATGATGCAGCGGAACAGGAATGAGAAACTGGTTTATGAAGCTGCTATGAGGAAGCTAAATGAAACTCGAAAAGCTATAGCCAGTGCTGAAGCTGCTCATGCTTCTGCATCTAATGCAGTTCATAGCAAGGAAAAAGAAAAGAGATGGCTGAAATTTTAGAGTAAAGCTCAAAACATATCTTGTATAACCTGAATGATTTCAAGGTCTTTCTATTTAGTATGATGGTTCGTATGAATCATAATTCTTTTAATGTTATTTCTNATGATGGTTCCGATGAATAATAATTCTTTTAATGTTATTTCTTCTCTTTTTATTTATAAGCCCCTTTTCATATGAGTTCATTTTACTACTTCGATTATTCTTTAACATGCATATGTTAAGATTTTGATCCCCTGCAATTTGATGTTTAAATATCTAGAATTTCAATGTAGTATGTTCTTGTTTGTTATGGTATCCTTTTTCCTCTTAAGCTTGCTAAGATTATCCTTGTTCTGCCTTTGTTTTTCTTTTAATAAGTGAATGAGAGAGTATTCTCGCTAATAGAACAAACTCACAAATTATTAAGCTTAATTAAGTACCTTTTACAGCAACTCATGCGGAGTTAGGGAAATAACCAACTACAAACTGTGAAGAAATAGAGTGATCACATAAGGAAAGACCTAATTGTGGGTGCTGTCATCCACGGTCTCCGAGGAGACTAGATAGAAGAGTCCGTCGACTTTTTTTAGTTTTAGAAGGTTTAAATAAGTATTTGTAGACGTAAAGTAATGTGTTTTAATTTAGGGTGTTCTTTGTCTTTTTTATTGGAGATCTACTCTGATGCCTACTGGAGATAGACTTCTATCTATGCTAGCTATCTTTGTTTGGTTTTATTTATTATGTTTGCAAATTGCATGTATGGCAAAACACCCTAGTTGAAAATGTTTACTTCTTATGCTAATATAATAATTAAGACTTTTTCATATAAATGTGCTGAAAATGCTGTTCTTTCTTTTTTTTCAGATAGTCGCACGTAATGACAAACATATTATTAAAGGACTCTACCATTGCTTCTTTATCGTTGCAATATTTGATTGATCGCAATTCTATATATTCCATTGGCTATAGAAGTTCCAAGGAATTCATTAGAGGAATGTTTCCAATAAAAATTGTTTGTTCTTGCATAGGGATCAAAACTGAGAAGAATGAGGAAAAGCTATAAATACACTTGATGGGCAAATCCAGTAGTCAGCCCGACGATTAGATTTGACAAAAAAAGAGGTAATTCATCCATTTGAAGATATTAACAACAAAAAACGCCTTTCAGTTATTTGACATACTTAACATAAGATAACAAATTAAGGAATAGGGAACAAAGGATGTTCATATACCTTTGAATTAGTTACTTTATAATAGGGAAAACTACCACTTCATTGATTATTTTACACTTGAGAATATCAAAAAGCACTTGCTCAAAGTGGAGAAGAAAAATGTTATAACCATTGTATTATATCGCTTCTTTGCATCTGGCAGCTCTAAGCTAAAGATAACATAAACCAGACCCAGAAAATAAAAAAGAAATTTTGCAATTCAATAATCAGTATCAAAATCTTCACTATTATAGTATCCAGTTTCATATCCATAGCATGAATCATCATTATTGTCTCTATATGAGTCATCATCTTCACCATACGCATTCTCCTGTTCAAGATCATGGAACCCGATATTCAGGTTATCAGCTGAATCACCATTAGCGCAAGCCTTAGGTTCCAATCGTCCTAGCTCTGCCTCTTCAGAAATTTGATTCTGCAGCACCATTCAACAACCATATAAGTGCATAAGAACTTGTTAAGTCCACTTCTGGCACGGTCAGAAGGAGTTGGTGTCCAGCATACATGTTCCTCACTAGTATGTATTCATGGTTCCTGATAAGAAGCAACTTGAAATGTAGCCGGAAATAGTTAAAAGTATATTATGCGCTGAAAGAGGTATTCATCTTTTTTAATCTAGGTGGAGGGTAGAGGTACGCAAAACAGAGTTACCAGGTAAGCTTCCCACTTTGCATAGCTCCCCCCTTCTTTCTCTTTTCTTTTTCAGAAAAATCATAATTTCCATCTTTCAGATCCTATGACAAGATAATATGTGGATTAAGCACATCACTGGATGTTCTAACTAAAGCTCAAGAAGAGAGCAGTAGAAAGGCATAGCAATTATTGCAAAAAGGTAAAAAGAAAGACATACCAAATCGTCAGTCAGCTTCTGCAAAGCATCATAATTTATTTTCGAACTTGTTCTCTGCAAATATTTGAATCGTATTTAGGTAAACTCAGCACATTATACCATCTAAAAGACGTAACATGAGCAAAAAGGATGTTTAGCTGAAAAATGCGCACCTTGTTCTCAACTCTTTCAGTTGTTTTAGCAGATCTCTTCGCACGGACATCTTTTTTACCTCCAGTTTCCTGTTTTCGTTTCTTCCCCTGTAATTTATCATCACTCTGAGAAAGAAAAAGGTTGAGTAATTTGTGGTACAACGTCACATAGATGGGTGGTTAGTAGATCAAGAGAAGAGTTGTACATTTAAGAAGTAAGACAGACTAAAGTACTTCTCGTTATCTAATGAAAGATGGAGAGGAGAGAGTAAAGTCATTGATCAAGAAATGTGCATCACATGACAGATCTCGTTGACTGTCATTCCTTTTCCTTTTTCTTTCATGTACACTGGAATAATTGAGTTCATTAGATACTTATTCCTATCTCATGAGTCTCTATTTGTCTAATGAATGGAGAGGGTAGGATGACATCACTGCATAAGAATAAACTGTCAGCAACCTAAGTTAGGCTACGCACCTTTCAGCCTATCTCTCACTGGGACAGGGAGGTTCTTGGTCCTTTCCCCAATTTATAACATCAGTACATTAATAGACTTATATGAAGATCCAGCCATACGCATATATTATTATGTACAGCTAGCTAATACCGGTTTTAGAGGCATTTCACTTCAAAAACTTCCAGTCTTCAGTGTGACATAATCACATAAGTCCTTTGACAGTAAGAGAGGAATCTAACTTATGAACGAGTCTAATCAAACACCCAGAAGGTGGAAGACAAGGGGGAAGACAGGAAGGTGGAAGACAACCAGAAAGGAGAAATATAACGAGGATAATGCATATGTATGAACTAATAAGTCAGGACACCACAACAAGAAATAAACAGAAACTATATTGTTTATCTTATATATGCACTTGAACGAGCAGAAAGGCAAAAAAGTGGCAATTACTTCAACCAAAATTCTCTAGAGCTAAACTACCATGTAGCAGAGTAGATGGAAGAAAGGCAATACCTTTGCAAACTCTTTATTCATTTTTTCCCATAAGATTTTCTTGTAATGCATCTCCTTCTTGTTATTGAGATATCCAACAACCTTTGCCACATCCAAAAGTTAAAAAATGTGATTACAAGATGTACATAAGCACAGAACTAACACAGACATTGACTTGAACTGCCATTAGACATTGGAAGTACCTCGAAATCATCAATGTCGGATAGATTTTCTGCATCATCTGCAGCTATATGTTCTCTCTCATCAAAATCCTGAAATTTAGTCCTACCACCTGACTCACCAAGAAATAGTTTGAAATGGAATTTAACTCATCCATCAATGTATAAATGATGTCAAATATTAAACAATTCAACAAGGATAAGATATGATACTACCGCCGAAGTTTTTCACAAGTTCTGTAACCAAATTATGTTTGACTTCGGACGCTTCCACCGCCTAAAGACCAAAAAGAAAAAAATGTCATTTTTCCGATGAAAGAGTTGTGGAACACATTCTAACATTACATTTCGATATAACAGACCAGAAAATAAGAAAGACATTCTGATTGAGGACCATTTTAATAATTTAGCAGTTAGATATAAGAATGAGTAGCAACGACATTTCCTTGCTTTATAAGGACCTTAATGCCATTCGGATCAGATATGCAAGTCTCCGAACCCAACTAGAACCTACCGACCAATCCAAAGTATCAACCTTATTCCCTGGTTTCTGCCTATGAACTACCAGAAAGAGTANTTTTCTTTTTCAGAAAAATCATAATTTCCATCTTTCAGATCCTATGACATGATAATATGTGGATTAAGCACATCATTGGATGTTCTAACTAAAGCTCAAGAAGAGAGCACTAGAAAGGCATAGCAATTATTGCAAAAAGGTAAAAAGAAAGAGATACCAAATCGTCAGTCAGCTTCTGCAAAGCATCATAATTTATTTTCGAACTTGTTCTCTGCAAATATTTGAATCGTATTTAGGTAAAATCAGCACATTATACCATCTAAAATACGTAACATGAGCAAAAAGGATGTTTAGCTGAAAAAATGCGCACCTTGTTCTCAACTCTTTCAGTTGTTTTAGCAGATCTCTTCGCACAGACATCTTTTTTACATCCAGTTTCCTGTTTTCGTTTCTTCCCCTGTAATTTATCATCACTCTGAGAAAGAAAAAGGTTGAGTAATTTGTGGTACAACGTCACGTAGATGGGTGGTTAGTAGATCAAGAGAAGAGTTGTACATTTAAGAAGTAAGACAGACTAAAGTACTTCTCTTTATCTAATGAAAGATGGAGAGGAGAGAGTAAGTCATTGATCAAGAAATGTGCATCACATGACAGATCTCGTTGACTGTCATTCCTTTTCCTTTTTCTTTCATTTACACTGGAACAATTGAGTTCATTAGATACTTATTCCTATCTCATGAGTCTCTATTTGTCTAATGAATGGAGAGGGTAGGATGACATCACTGCATAAGAATAAACTGTCAGCAACCTAAGTTAGGCTAAGCACCTTTCAGCCTATCTCTCACTGGGACAGGGAGGTTCTTGGGCCTTTCCCCAATTTATAACATTAGCACATTAATAGACTTATATGAAGATCCAGCCATACGCATATATTATTATGTACAGCTAGCTAATACCGGTTTTAGAGGCATTTCACTTCAAAAATTTCCAGTCTTCAGTGTGACATAATCACATATGTCCTTTGACAGTAAGAGAGGAATCTAACTTTTGAACGAGTCTAATCAAATACCCAGAAGGTGGAAGACAAGGGGGGAGACAGGAAGGTGGAAGACAAGGGGGGAGACAGGAAGGTGGAAGGCAACCAGAAAGGAGAAAAATAACGAGGATAATGCATATGTATGAAATGATAAGTCAGGACACCACAACAAGAAATAAACAGAAACTCTATTGTTTATCTTATATATAGCACTTGAACGAGCAGAAAGGCATTAGTTTTTACAAAACGTGGCGATTACTTCAACCAAAATTCTCTAGAGCTAAACTACCATGTAGCGGAGTAGATGGAAGAAAGGCAATACCTTTGAAAACTCTTGATTCATTTTTTCCCATAAGATTTTCTTGTAATGCATCTCCTTCTTGTTATTGAGATATCCAACAACCTTTGCCACATCCAAAAGTTAAAAAATGTGATTACAAGATGTCCATAAGCACAGAACTAACACAGACATTGACTTGAACTGCCATTAGACATTGGAAGTACCTCGAAATCATCAATATCGGATAGATTTTCTGCATCATCTGCAGCTATATGTTCTCTCTTATCAAAATCCTGAAATTTAGTCCTACCACCTGACTCACCAAGAAATAATTTGAAATGGAATTTAACTTATCCATCAATGTATAAACGATGTCAAATATTTAACAATACAACAAGGGTAAGATATGATACTACCGCCGAAGTTTTTCACAAGTTCTGCAACCAAATTATGTTTGACTTCGGACGCTTCCACTGCCTAAAGACCAAAAAGCAAAAATGTCATTTTCCCGATGAAAGAGTTGTGGAACACATTCTAACATTACATTTCAATATAACAGACCAGAAAATAAGAAAGACATTCTGATTGAGGACCATTTTAATAATTTAGCAGTTAGATATAAGAATGAGTAGCGAATACATTTCCTTGCTTTATAAGGACCTCAATGCCATTTGGATCAGATATGCAAGTCTCCGAACCCAACTAGAACCTACCGACCAATCCAAAGTATCAACCTTATTCCCTGGTTTCTGCCTATGAACTACCAGAAAGAGTACGCTACAAAGAATTTGGAGTCCAGTACATTCCAAGAGGTACATACCAACCAATCTCAGACTCACAAAAACATATGGTATATAGGAACACCTCACTGGCTTACTGCAGAACCCCTTTGTGAGAAGTTCCCATAGACTATTAGCCAAAGCTAGAAGATCATGGCTCAGGGGGCAGTATCCAAAATTGGGCCACATGCTATGCATAGATAAGACAAGGACACTAATAATGTATCTTAATATTTCTCAACATGCAATTGATGCTCAGCATATCCTAAAGCAGAACTTGCGCAAATGAATTGCATTTTCCAGATTAAGGAAGGATTCAGTAGAACATAAAACAAACTATCCCTGGAAAAGCAATACAAATTTCTGCTGGATAATACGAAGAACGTGAAATTGATTTCAAATGGACATCATGAATTTCAACAGCTAGATTCTCGATTTACAGAAAAGCTTGTGGAATTGTGCACTCTCTTTCTAATGAAAGAACAGAGGCACGAAACATCCCTATTATAGAGACTCTTTTTGTTTCCAATTTCAATGATCGTCATGGTAAATTCTCAGACTTTTTTTTTTCAATTTCAATGATGTCAAGACGTCTTTGGAGCAACGGTAAAGTTGTCTCCATGTAACCTATAGGTCACGGGTAAGAGCCGATGATGTTATTGTAAATTCTAAAACCTAACAGAAACAAGTTTTATATGTAGTCCACCAGCTAACCATTACGCCACTGCTTCACCGCAAATGTTATAACACTAACAGAAAAAATCCTTCTACCGTAACTTAGAAAATATAAACAAAAGAAACGGACTACATATATGAGAGAAATAATAATGCAATAATCTGTACATACAAAAAGAAACAAATAAAACTTTCGATGAAGGCATACCCTTTGTTCTTTAGGTTTGCCAATGTCGGCGGGTCTCCGTGTGATGGCCATTGCCTTTTCAAGGCTTTCTCTAATTCGAATCAGTGGCAGATTTATAGAAAAAGGTATGAAGCGTTTGCCGACTCAACTCGATTCGGGGTTTTACGTCTCTCTTACCCGAGCCCGAGCCCGAAATCGAACCGACCTGTTTATTCTTTTCAAGTCAAGATCCCTATTTATTTTATTTTTTTATTTTTTTGTTTCTCAATCGATGTCTGGTACCCGTATTGGAGTCCGATTATATCCGGATTCGCACTGTGTAGGACCCCATTCGGGGGGAGTGCTCCCTACCAAGGATTTTTACATACCCAGGCTCGAATCCGAGACCTCTAGTTAAGGGAGGAGCAATCTCATCCACTACATCACACCCTTTAGTGATCCCTATTTAGTTAAACCGCGAAAATGCTAGTGCATATTTGCATATGATTTTGGACATATCCCTTGAATTTTTAATTATGTCTCGTTATTTAGCTAAGGGCAAAATACATATAATTTTGTCTCGTTATTTAGCTAAGAGCAAAATACAGACCCATTAAACTTGTCCAAAAAATAAGTTTGAATATTTAAACTAAAAAGGTATTTTTTTTACCCTCCCCCAAACGTATTTGGAGTGAATTTTATTCCACCCTAATAGCTGATGTGGCAAAAAAATAATTAAGCGCATACAAAGTGAAAACTAGTCACAGTTAGCCCGTACTAAGCACGGGCCTAATAATTTAAAGCTCAAATATTTGAACTCTTAGAGCTTGTTTGGAAGTTTTTATGTAATCGAATTTGAGTGTAGTTTAATGTAATTACACAATTTAACATATTTTTGTCTATACATTTAATTACTTAGTCCACATAAAATGATGCATAATTAAAATGAGGTAACTACAGTTTGTAATTATCAAAGAGGATAAAGAATTAATTATGGTAATGATATAGTATAATTACCATATGATATTTCAAATCTTATTTTTTCTTTTTAAATATATTTTAAAAAAACAAGAACGCATGCACTTCTCTAACCCCTTCATATTCTACATAACTAAATGGCAGGTTATGTCTAACTATAGCCTTGGCTACAATTTCACAATATTCTTTATGATCAATTGGCGTACCTTGCTTTGATGCTTCAATCTTGTGCTTAGCTAGACGTCGCTTTAAATTTGTTGTTCCAGCTTTTGAGTCAGCCAAAAATATTATCCCGCATTTCTTACATTTAGCTCTAAGTCTATTATCAGGATCTGTATCCAATGGCAACTTCTCATAAAAATCCCACACAACAGAAGTAGTTTTACGTTGTCCTTTTGAACTTGAAACACTTATTTCATTGGACTCTACATCATCATGCTCTATCGACATCTTCTTACACAATGAGATCCTACAGTAGATTAAATACCATAAACTTAGTTTCTAACTCAGTTTAAATATCTCATAAACTATGAAACAACAACATAGTCCTAAAATAAAGAGAAATAATGCTATTGTTGGAGCAGAAAGGACAAATGATTGAAACAAAATAAAGGCACAAATAATTAAAGATTTAACACCATGTAAACACCCACTTCATAAAAAATCTAAGAAAACTCTATGAGTAACAATGATGAAACAGTAAACTCCTAAAGGAAATGACAATTAGGTGATCATACATTGAAAAACCACAAAACTCATGCATACCTTTTTTACCATTTTTTTTTAAAAAAAAACACATACGGAAAAACCAAAAATCAAGAAAAGAATACCAATCAACCCCCCCCCCCC